AAAACCCTAGATCTTTAAAATAGTAGCTTTAATAAAAATAGTTATTAATATAGATTTACCCTATATATATAATACCTATAAATATAGTAACTAATTTTTTATTATATTATAAGAAATTAATAATAAAAGTTATAGGCTTTATATAGTAAAAAGCTTTAATAACCTTTAAAGTATATAAACTAAAGTTATAAAATATAGTACTAATAGGAAATATAATAAGATAAGTAGTAATATTTTAATTTAGCTTACTATTTTTAGTACTTATAGCCTTACCTATATAGTAATAGCCCTAGGTATTTCTTTAAAGGTTATTAAAGTTATTTAGTAAGAAAGGAAAGTATAAAAAGCTTTTAATATAAACCTTAAAAAGGATAAAGAAAGGAAGAAAAAGATTAAGCTTATAAGAGAAAATATAGCTTAGATTTAGTTACTAATTAACCTATAGCTTATAATTAACTAGTAAAGTCTTTAATATTATAAGTAAAAGAGACCTTAGTTATATAAGTTAAAAAAGGCTTAGTAAATAAGGTATATTTAATATCCTATAGGTATAGTATATAGCTATTAGATTTAGTAAGAAATACTAATATATAAGAAAAGCTTAACCTAAAGAAAGTTTTATAATAATATATATATCGGTATAATTAGGGCTAAGAAAAAGGTTAGTAAGAAGGTTTAGGGTAATTAGAAGGTAGTAGTAAAGTTGAGTTTATGAGTTAATTATAAGGTTAGAAAATACACTTTAACTTTAATACAATGGTTTTGTAATGCTTATCACCTCTTGGCTGGCAGCTTGACCGAGCATCTACAAATATCCTGTTGTATGCCATGCTATGCCAGAGTCTTTGATGCAGGAACTTACGGTATTCCAGGGTCGGACATGGATTGAAACCATTGGAGTTATCCTTTTCTGCGCCCTCATGACAACGGTCGCGGTTCAGCTTCTGATTGAATCGGCCAGGACATTGGGTACCGGCAAGACTGAGTCTAAGGAGCTTCACCTGGTTCCAATTATATTTGTTTGCGTTGCCAGTGAGTCAACAACTGAAGTCTCAAATGGTGATCGCTGATGGTGTTGTAGTCTTCAGCAAGGCGTCTCTCATGCTGTACTGCATGACTTACCGAAAGTATCCGTCGGTTCATGTGTTCTTTGTAAGTATGTTAGGGCCACTTGGGCTATCTCACTGACTGTCTGGTAGATTGACCACCGCAATGACATTGCCGTCAATAGCTTCGGCCTTATCATGTCGGTTGTAGGTACAAGTTTATCTGGTACTTGGACCCAATCGGTGCCATCTGCATCGCACTTCTGATCCTCTTCTCATGGATCTCGAATGCTTTTGAGCAAATCTGGCTGCTGGTCGGCAAGGCGGCGCCTCAAGAGTTTATTGCCAAGCTAATTTACATGAGCATAACACATGACGACCAGATATCTATGGTCGAGACTGTAAGCAGAAACACCAGACGTACTTGTATGCAACTAACAGATACAAGTGCCGCGCGTATCATGCCGGGCAAAAGTACTACGTTGAGGTGGACATAGTCATGGATGAGCAAACATCCCTTAAGATCAGCCATGATGTCGCCCAGTCACTGCAGCGAAAGATTGAAGGTAAATTTCTTTTCCTGCCCATGCAAACCATATAAAGATGCTAACATATTTGCAGGGCTTGGGGATGTTGAGCGGGCATTTGTTCACGTCGATTATGAGTGCGAACACAATATTCACGAAGAGCACAAGCCACTTTATGATAGGAAGTTTTGATTGAAGGAGGATTTGAGCAATGGTGCTGTGTGGAGTCCCCTGATGACGAAAGATTTTGTGTATTCAAAACTTCACATAATATATCCTGCTGTTACGCCATTTGATATTCTTCAAATAGCTCCCCACGGAGACATACATCGTGCTTGAGTATAGTAACTTGTATCTGCGAATGTTCTGACGGGCTCAATTTATCTCCTTAATCCTCCCGTGCACAGTGTTCTTGTCAGCAATATGGAGCCCAGTAGACTTGTTATCCAAGGCGTCTGGCCGAAGCTTCTCATTTAGTGCCTCTTCATTCTCCTCTTGTTCAATGGCCCTCCTATGTAGACCAGCTTTGATATTTCGTCTCTAGAGAAATTGGACTATCATGAATAGAGTAAGATAACAACAGGTGAGAACGAGATTTGGTGAGAACCCCTTGGTCTAGCGAGGTCCTTGGGTGATGGGGAAGGCTATATACCAAGTGAAGACGGCCCAGCCAAGAGTGATCTGTGTCCTTGTTGAATTCTATAGAATAAAATCCTTTGATGGCTGACCAACTTACCATGGCGCCAGTAGTAAAGCTCCTTGCTTCACTATCGTCCTTCATGATAAGATGCACCCCGTGGAAAGTCATGGCGCGATAAAAGAACTTATACTAAGGAGGAAATATGGGGCAAAATGGAATCCGGGAGGAATGTTCCAGACTGAAAGGGTCGAGTGACAGAACAGGAGGACAGTTCCTGTAAAGCAGAAAGGCACCCAGATTGGATAAACCATGTAGGAAGTGTGAGCTTATTGTTTAAAGAGATAGGCGAGGGCCGTGGAACTGACATGACAAATGAAGTCACAGTAATGCCCACAATAATGGCTAGTGCTTGGACCCGTCGGCAGGATTTTGATCATCTCCAAAGAGTATCGGCCCATTGACTTCACCCAGACAACCATCTGGCCAGCACTCCAGGTAGTAGATTGAAAGCTAGCATGGTTAGTACCGGCCAATACTGAGGAGCTGCAGCTCAAAAGGTCACCAAATGCACCAGCCACGGATACAGAAGGCAATATAAAAGTGCCACTTCCGGAAGACACGCTTCAGCATATTCTTGCCAATGTCCCTACTCTTCTTCATCCCGTCGTGTTGCATGCGTGCCTGAGCAAACTTTTGGCCGTCTTCACGGAGCCACCAGACACGAGGGCTGGTGGGCACGCCTGGACAGAGAAAAGGCTGGAAAGTACAATAGGTACGGAAGTGATACTATTGATGTGAAAGACCCAGAACCTAACGCCAACGAGAGTCAGGGAGCTACAAGAAGTGGGGAACGCATCCCTTTCAACTTACAAGCCAGCCATGCCTCCATTTCCGCCAAAACCAGCATAAGCGGCAGCTTGCGTGTGTTGTCCTTCTAGTCCTTAAATATAATAAACCTTACTATGTCACTGCACCTAAGGTCCATACTTATCCCGAATCTTAAACGCCACCCTAGGTGCAGGAAGGATATTCCAGATCTCCTCCGCAGCCATATCATATGTCCTATCATTGCCCCTCTTTAGTGTACGCGGAAGCGGCCACGCCTTATCCTCATGCTTCAACCACATACGAACGAGATGGCGAATATGTTCTGGACTGTCAGTAAACTCTTCTCGAGCGTGGAGGATCCCAAGGTTGTTGATAAATGTGAGGTCGCCGGGGTCCATGTTCAACGAGAGATGATGCTTCTCGGCAAGCTGTTGTACGAGATCCAAGGCTTCCAGCTGCTTGGCAGTTGGTTTTGGAGCAAAGGTGCCATCGTCTGTTGGTTCCGTAGCCATTAAGTGGATCCGACCGAAGTTGAGAATAATGTGTCCCTGGTGATTAAATAAAAGAGGCCGACGTTCTGGGTGAACAAACAAGCTACGTCTAGAGAAAGTGAGGAGTGGGAATTTCTAGAGAAAACACAGAAGGACCTACGAATCAAAGTACCAATCTGGACTGGCCAAGGTTTCAAGCACATCTGGTCTCGTGATTGAAAGCTCATTGTAGATCGCGTATGAAGAAGCGATGTTGTGATTTCCGCCAGTCTTAGCCCGGCCAAGACAGTAAAGAGCCAGGATGTCAGGAAACTGATCTGTGTGAAATGCCTTTTACTAGTATTAGAAAACCTATGCAGATTTAATTAAGGAATTTCTGCTTACCAAGCGAGCATTAGAATCTCTCGCAGGTCTTTCAGTTTGAGGTGCAGCCATTTCCTTGGCTTCGCGAATGTGGACTTGAGTAAATCGTTAGCTATGAAACGGCGATGGAGGCAGACAAAAGGTAGTTAGCTTACGAAACATATTCCCTTCTTCATCCTGCTTTCCGCGAGTCGGTGCAATATAGCTGGAGAGACCGAGATACAACAGGGCATTATCCTCGACTGAGAATTCGGTTGGATCCAAGCCACGAAGCATGAAGAATCCCTTTCCGTGATGTAGTCCGTCACTGAAAGCATGAAGCCGCTCGCCTAAGTGAGGTAGTGGAAAGTTCTGTTCAGTGATGTCGCTTCCATCAAGCTCCAGACCTGCAGAAGTTAGTACATTTTTCCAATCCACTTGGCTCTCTCGACGGAGGGCTACTTTTAAAATGATCCAAGGCACTCTGGATCTCCGAAGTATCGGAGCTGGAGAAGTGGTAGATGTATTGATCCTCAGTTGTGAAATCGTTGCCATGCCAGGCAAGTGGATGGTTTAAGTGTCGAGGCCACCCCAACAGGACACTGCCAGCTGGATTCAGTAGGCTTTTTCCATCAGACACGCCAAAATCGTCGATACAATCCGGAAGAATAGTGAGTGTCGGAAGAGCCATGATCAAAGATTGTTACGCAAATTGGTGAGTTTCCAATTGGGTGACATGGCGGTCCACGGGACATGGAATATCTGGTATGATATAAATATGCTTCTCATCACCGCTGAGTAACCAATGATTGCGTGATCCTACCATATCCTGCTGTCTCGCAGAGCCTCATTGAAGCCCAAGTGCGGGGTTCCGCAATGTAGGATGTTGACCGAGTGACCGACTCGAGGCATGCCAAGACAGTACTCGCATGTCCCGGAGATAAGAGCTGCCGATGATTCGCTACTGAGTGACCTCGACCTTAATGAGGGTGTATATCAAACTTAAATTGGACGAATAGGGTAAGTTGTTAGAAATGTGATTCACATGACACACACCAGGGGATGAAGCTGTTCTGCTGCTATTCGCGGGTCAAGGACATGCCAGACACAACACAAAGAAAAACAAGTTTGATATATCTAAGAGGTCAGACAAGTCCTTCATGGTTGCTCAGCTCAATATAAATGCATGTTGTATCACGTCGCTGGTTGGCTCAAGAATGTTGTGAGGCCTCAAAGATAGCGTGTGACCTTAGCGTGCATTGCATGAGACACTAACGATGAAATATTAATGCTCCCAGTGGCAAAGTACCATCTAATCCAATTAAAAGTCTGATAGAATGATCCTTGAGCCGATACCAGACTGTGAATGAGTGGCTGGCTTGCGACAGCCTGCTTTTCTTACGCCCCCCAGGTGCCTTGGCGGTGCTAAAGCGGTGTTGATCGCATGTGATCAGCCATATGTTTGTTTTTGCTGGACTTACAAATCAATTGATAAGCTAAAATAATGTGTCCAATGAGTCACCTTGAATTTAATGCTATTAGATAATGATTTTGATATCCGTTGACGGGGATCTAGGTTGATAGATGAGCCTCATTTTGTCTATCTCAAACATTACAATCAAGCTTAACATTCATGAGATAATAGCCATAGTCAGTAATTCTTCTAATAGTCTGCTCGCTTGCTTGGCTTTTTTGATCGTTTTGAACGCTCTACTGAGTCATTTGTTGTGACTACCATGGATCCAACTCCTACCAATATCTCAACCTTCATGTTTCCTACTGCGATTTTCACGCGCAATCCGCCACCTGAGCTTGAACCTGCCCCGCTTGAGTGGTCCAAGTCATCACTCAACATCAAGAATCGTGTTGATAGTCTTGATCCGCCAGCCAGATGCGACTGGATAATACAAGGAGCAGATCTTGCTGGGACCCGTTGGTTTGCCATTCCAAAATTTGTGATTGGGAGACCCCCGCTGCGGATTGACGTCCATGTACCGGAGCTATTCAATACACCAGGTTATCTCAGAGACACCCTCGAACCAAACTCACCGATGTTTTGTGAGTTGGAGACTGCTGGTACATCATACATGGCCATTCATATTTTGCGGGCACTCCATTGGTGGTCTTCAAAGAACGAGAGATTTCTCCATGACTACCAACAACTACCGTTTGGATCCAGAATTCTATTCGAGACTCTGAGTCACGATATCCGTCAGATTAACATCCAGTTTGTCCCAGTTTATGATATTGAGAGACAATGGCTATCAGAGAAGACGTTACACGGCATGTGGGATGTCCTCGATACCACATGGCCTGGTACTGTTGACTTCAGAACCCTACAGTTCCAACGACGTCTTCATGACACTATAGATGTCGTTTCGATAGATGGACATGGAAATCAGGAATTCGTTTTCAAGAGCTTGATGAACGACATCAAATATCTGTACCATGAACTGAAAACACTCATGGCCATGAAACCGCATCCAAATGTTGTCCCGAGCCCTATTTACCTGGTGACTAAGAGGTGCGGTTTCGGTGGCAGGCGGGGAGTATGCGGAATGATATTGACATATTATCGCAGAGGCACCTTACGAAGGTGGCTGAAGGAACATCGGCAAATACCCTCTGAAATCTCCCATGCAATGAAAGGTTCCTGGGCCAAGCAGATCGTTTCGGCTTTAATACATATAAAGAAACATGGGCCAGGGTATTATACGAACCTCAAGTTGGACAATATCGTTGTGGCGGATTCTCATGATTCCAGCGTGCTCAAAGTCGTCATCATCGACTTTGAACAGCGTCTGGGATCTCCCGCATGGACGCCCCCAGAGATACATTCAGTCACCTTCCTTGCCGATTTGATCCACCACGATCCTCTTTCTTCGATCTCACGGTCATATCACGATATGTTCTGTCGTTATGGTGCCATCATCCCGGAGTCAGAAAAAGCCGCCAGGTACACAAACCCGGAATCCGGGTACTGCTACCCATGGTCCAGTCTTAGTTCCAAGGAGCGTGAGGATGCACAAGTGTTTATGCTGGGGAAGCTCTTGTGGTGCCTGTACGAAAACGCATCTTTGCTAAACAGTTATATTGGTATCAACTCTTTTCGCGACAACTACTCTGACAAAGTCTTTCCGGACTTTGATATCACACCAGGGCCACTGAGGGAATGCATCCTGCAATGTACATCTGGTTGTTGGGAATCGACTGGCAGAACACCCCCTCTTGTTGCTCATGATAAGAAGATTGTACTACGTGACCACCACAAACAAGGAAGACAGAGTAGTGTTGAAGAGGTTCAAGTCGCCATTAGGAAATGGTGGCGACAGCAAATATCAGATGCGGAGGCCTTTCTGAAACACCGTGGAAGGGGTACAAATGTGAACCAATACGGAAGGCGACCAGGTTTGCAGGACGTGCTTCAAGTGCTGGACAGAATGTAAGTTCAAAGTTTGTGATCCATCGGTTTACGATCAGGTGCATACTCTGGAAACGGCCAAATGCCACTTCAGGCCAGCAAACTCCTTGCAAGATATGTCCCTGAATAAAGACATTCACGATTCATAACCCATCAAGCGAGTTTAAATAGCCGGGATGTTTCAGCCGCACCCTTATGTTGATTCCTGGGAACCAGATTCCATTAAGTGCCAAGCAAGAAGCTCTGGTTAAAGTAAAAATGTACAAAGGCCCCATCATGGGCATCAATCACTTCCGTCACGCTTGCCCATCTGCTGTAGCTATACTAGCGAGCAACCACGGCAATCAGCATTCCATCGTAGTTCTTGTCCCCGACCATCTGAAGAACAGTACTGCTCACGCGCGGATCACTTCCCGCTCTTTCAATGAGTTTTCTGACCTGAGTGACGGTCTCATCAGTGCCAACGAGCTTAGGGTTGACAATAGAGCCTCGGCGCACGACGTTGTCAACGATGATGCAGCCGCCTGGTCTGGTCATATCGGCTGCTTTGTCAAAATATATCCAGCCATTGAGCTTGTCTGCGTCTATGAAGATAAAATCGAACAGAGGGCGGGTGTCTTGTTTAACTTCGTCCACGATCTTTGACAAGACCTCGACTGCATCGCCATGGATGACTTCGACGCGATTGCTCAGTCCTGCCATTTCCAGATTTTCCTTTGCCACGGCAACGTGATGAGACACTGACTCCACGGTTGTCACACGAGTTGTCGGACTGGCATTGGCGAGGAATATGGTGCTGTAACCGCCAAGGGTACCAACCTCAAGGACATGCTGCGCGTTGACTAGCTTGGCTTGGATCTGTATGTACTTTCCTTGTGAAGGCGATACAGATATATCAGGGAGCCCGGAGTTCTGCTGGTGCTTGTATGCTTTGGCGAGAGTTTCGCGGTCTGGAAGGCTCCCCTGTCCATGCGTTTGTGTCATTGTCCATTCATCAACGGCGACCCAACGAGGATCACGGCCTGTCACCTTGTACCACTCCTGGCTGCCATGCTTGGGCGCACCGGTGAGAATGGAAGGAAGAAGATTAAATAAAGTAAACATGATAGGAAACATCAGAGAGGGAGATGGTGTGTTGTATTGTGTTGTGTTGCCGTAGTTGCGTGACTGCTGTAAAGTTCTGAAGCGGGGTAGACTTACCCTTATAAACTGTGACAGTGCCCGCCTGGTCTCACGGGCTCTCTACTGTGTCAACCATTCACGTAGCTGGGTTTACCAGCACCGGTGAGAGCCCGATTCAGACTCTATCGCGGTGGTCTTATACAAATCGGAAAAGCAGATTTAGCTATAGTAGACGTGTATTATCTAAAGAACGGATTATGTAGATAGGCAATTAATGGTAAGGCTCACTTTAAAGGAAGCCGTTCCGTTCATTCATGTACAGTCCTCCACACAGAGATTTACTACCTAGCATGTGACTTTCGGGGCTATCAATAATTGATCAATCACGCCCACTGCCCTTGCCAACCTCGCCGGATTCGTCGCGGGGGTCCCAAGCCATGGCAATCTCATAAATAACCTCCGATTCGCCCGGAGCCTGAATCTTAACCCGACCCAGCTCTTTGAATCCGAACTTCGCATAGAGAAGCTTTCCCATATTCCCAGCGAACATGGGGATAGCTACGCCTTCGTTTCGAGCTCTCTCCATGCCCCAGCTTAGCAGCTTGGAAGCAGCACCTCTTTTCCAATAATCTGGAAGTGTTGCCATCTGTCGTAGCGAAAGCTGTCTTTCTCCAAATCTGGAAACGAAAATGTCCTTTCGAGCCTTCATGGTGGCCTCAGAGTAAGCCTTCAGCCGTGCAGGATTGCAGTCTTTCCTCTCTGGGTGATTTTTGGGAGGAGCGACGGCTGGAATATCAGGGTCCGGTGCTCGATTCCCGGGATTATCCCAGATGCTTAAAGAAATAACCTTTGTTTCTTTCGGGTTCTTCAAATCGGGAGCGGTCGCCAGCATGATGGTGTTTTGTCCTGCCAGGGTAGTATTGAGGTACTCGGCATAGTACAGTCGTGTATATTTATAGTGTTCCTCGGGGTATTGTTTGCGGTAGGGGTATCGATAGGCAAACTGTTCATCGAATGGGAATGCTTTGATTACGATCTCTACGATCGCGTCAAGATCATCAGCCGTAACGGGTCGAATTAAAATATCGTCGAGGGAGTGAACTTTGGGTTCCGCGTTGTCGCTCATCGTTGTTGTTGGAGGGGTAGTAGTCGGTTGATGCGAGAGCATGAGGGTAAATAAAAGAAAAGCGATGGTGAAAAGAAGGATTGGGAGGAAACTAGCGCATCGAACTGCCATTTCCTACCTTCCTACGTTCTTTCTTTCTTTCTCTTTTTATAGATATGATATTCTGTGACTGAATCACTCCAGAAAGATATAGCTCTTGTCGGTCAAGCAGAGCAAGAACAAGGGAGAGATCACTGATGATGCAACGACGCGGCTAAACCGGTGATACAGTCAGTGAATCAGATGTTTTGCCGTCGATGGTGAGGAACTGACCAATCAAATTACGACCGGTGTAGACCTGCAGAATCTTATTGGCGGATTCCAATATTAATAGCGATTGGCCCAAGCAGGCAACCGGTGAATTCCACTGCCCTCTCTCGTTTCCTCCGATTATGAAGCGCTGTACTCTGTAGATAAGGTAGACTCCCCATAATATGAAAATTAAGTTTAAAGTGATAGCCATAGTGGATGTTATTAAATGTTTTATCGTGCTGCGACCCATGTTAGTTAAGCTGGTACATAAGCCCAGCGATTATTTTAGTATGTTTAAACCTCAATTAGGTAAATAAAGTTATTAACCTATCCTGGCAGTAAAGTAAGTAGGAGTTATTAGTTAATATGTAGACATGTAGTATTTATGTGTATATAAGAGCCATAGAGCAAACCAGTAAAAATAGTAGCTGTACCCATCCTACTTCAATATACAAATTTGTTCTTTAGTGTAAAAACTGCGCTCCCATCCCTCTGAGAAGAGTTTGAACATCATGGGATACATCATCAGCAGCATTATGCCCTGCTTTAGTTCGCCCCATTTGCGATGGATCCTCCAGCCGAGTTGCACTGGATCCCGAACCTACGCCTGTACTATTCTCGCTATGCATTGCCTTGACATCCAGTTTCTCACCACCGATGTTGCCTACCCATTTATCAGCACGAAATGGCATGGCGTATATCTTCAAAGAGGCTTAACATACCATTGCAAGCAATAAGGGAGGAATAAGGACGGGTGTTAACCGTACGACCGGTTGTTCGAGTTGTAGCCGCTGCCATTATTAGAGGCAAGATGAAATAATGTTAGAAAATTGGCTGAGACTGTGGAATCAAGACAGTATATAACTATTAGTTCGACCTTTGGGACAAATTAAAAAATTAACTGTACTTTTGCTTTGCTTGCTACGTGGTATTTATAAACCCAGCTCAGCTTTAAAGCCCTACTAAGTTAAATTATTTTCTGGCCGTTTTACTCCCCTGATTGGATGGAAGAACTTCATCGGGTCAGTCGCTAGCTTCACTTACCGCCGTCAGTCATTCACTCCACAGGCTGTAATAGCATCTTGCAGGATGAGGCTGATTTACTCTTCCTTCAATGAGCGTGCTGTGATTTGGCCTGTGTATAACTGCCTAGGTTGAACCAGCCTCACACTGCACTGGTGCGGTTCTAATTGGAGGACCTGTTGCCCGGTCGGGCCGGGCTAAGCCTTGTCTCGTATGTCTACCAAACATTCATCGTCCCGACCGGTAAAGTCTGGTGGCCAGTCAATTCCAGTCAAATTCTTAACGAAATGGTCACTGGAATTATCTCACCGGCTATCAGTCCTTTTGATCAGTGAATATAAATAACTACAGCCGGTGAATGCCTCTTCTATAAGGGCTGAAACTATATAATGAACGTGTGGAGGACATCATAAACCGAGTCAAATAGCAAGTATAGACCTGTTTGCGAGAAATAACTTCCTTAGCATATGTATAAACAGGATATATACCTTATCATTAGTTTGCACGATTAAAAAACAAGAGATAGTGATCTTCATAGCCACCGTACTTCGCTACTACACAAGTCTAGTCAAAGCCCTCCATAATACACTATATCGCTATAAAATACAGTCATAACACTAGACAGTGTGAAGTGGAATCCAGTGTAGGTCATAGAGTTGCGCAATGAAATAATAATCATCCTCAAACTCTCCTTTCAGCTTAATAGTTTCGAAATAGGAACCTTTCCAAGTTAGTCAAACCAATCCTGCCTAGCATAGTTAGGAAGGGAAGGGTATTCACGAACGTTTGTCTTGAACCAGTTTGACTGTTTCTTTGATAAAATGGACTTGTTGTGGCCCTAGCTCCGCAAAAGCTACGTTGGCAGGACGAGTCCAGTCCATGGAAAATGGATGGCCACCTTTGTTACAGTAGTGGAAGTAAGCTAGCATAGTCCTTGCGCCAGAGTGGAACTTTTCCACTATCTCGTGATTCCAGTATCGTGCCTATGTAAGTCATGTTAGCAGTGCACTTGGACCATTTCTCATCCACTGAGATATACCTGCGAGCCCATTTTGCCTTCTCGAGCTGCCCGAACTCCTTCAGCTCGCGTTAACATGGAGCAGCTATGCAGCAAAATGAACATGGTCAAGTAGATTGTGAACCATGACCTGGTCATGTTCTTCTCAATCAACCTCTGCAGTATTTTAAGTACTTCCTTCTGCATAGGCAAGAGGATCATGGACGTGGTGAGGATCTCGATTTGGGCTTGTAGAACTGGAGGGACGAGATACTTTCCGTAATTGCTAGCCGTGGGGTCCCAATTCTGAGGCGTCATACCAAGCACCTCTTCGCTGCTGACTCTTTCTTGCTTCGATTCCATCCGAGAACCAACCCAGAGGCGTAAAACAGAATGAAGGAGTACTCGCTCATCCTTGATCTAACTTGGTGAGTCTGAAAGTTCTGAGTGTATTCATTTGTTAAAGACATACCGCCGATAAGCGCGAGTGTTCAAATGCCATTTGATAGGTCATAAAAAGAAGCCGGTCTTCTTTGCTAATATAGTGGTCGATGAACGTTTTGATGTGAGTATCAACGAAACTCACAAACACCTTGCTTGTTTCCCTCATGTTTGCAAGGGCGTATGGGGCGCAAGGGTGTGCCTTCACACCATCCGCAGTGTTCCATGTCCTCTCAAGTGAATCGCCAGGTTGCGGAATGAACTTGCGGACCTGTAGGCTGTACGAGGCATTTCCAACGTCTTGGGTCAATGTGATGGTCTTGATGATCGGACAGTCCCAATCTTCCATCTCGCATATTTTCATGCTTGTCCAACGCCGTGTCCAGCTAAATCGCGGATGTAACCCTTTGTCGAGCAACTGCGAATCGGAAATCTTGTATCGAAGGCACGGTAGCCGGGATAGTGTAGGGCCCTTTACTTTGGCGCAGGTTTGGCAATCTCCGAAAGGATCTTCAGGGTTGGGGACGCACTGGACGAGTGAGTTAGCCCATGACGCTAACGTCGGAGTGAAAAGGAAAGGAAGGGTCTTACACGAATCCTTTGCATGTGACAGCGGATGCATGCCTTGTTCTTCCGAGTTTCGCCTGTTTCCTGTCGTTGACAAAGATCAAAAGGCCGGCGACGTTGAATCTTTTGGCCTGTCGTTTTGCGAAGGATTACTGCAGCCGGAGCGGAATTGGGTGGATGATCCGTTTCAACTAATGCGATTCTGTTTGTGACAAGCGGGTCTTTGGGGCGTATGTCACGAAACTTTACAATACTGCCTGATGCAGAGCTCTCTGGGATTGTTGGGGTAGACCCTTGGGACGGCTGGCTTGAGAGATCGGCTGGAGGAAAGGTTGTTGTAAGGTAGTTGCTTGGATCGCTGTTGTGTTGCTGGCCGCGCTCACCTTCATTCAGAGCTAGCATGAAAAGTTGGCCCTGCTCTGCATTTTCTGAGCCATCAGAAGCCTGGGGGTCCAAGTGACCGGAAAGAATACTCTCCAGTGTCTGTTCATCCTCCGGTCGATACTCGGCGACTTCACTTTCCATCTCCAGCATGCCCTGGCTAGTGGGCTGTCCTATTTGGCTATTGTCGGTGCCAAAGTCGAGTGGTTCTTGACCGAAAAGGATTGATGGATCAAAGTATGATTGATCCATTTCATCTAAGAACGTCAGATCCATGTCGCGCACTGCAGAAGGTTCTCTCGACATGGTCTCCATGAGTGTATCTGCAGGTGGCATTGGAATCAGACTTGTCAGACTTGAGGCATCCAGACTTGTAAAGTCAATTGAATCAAGCAATCCGACAGCGGATGGCGAAGTTGTGTGCAGATTCGTCAGCTGTATTGACGTGGAGCTAACTTCCGGTATGGCCTCGGACTCTTGAGAACATTCGAGGTCATGTATTTGGCTTCCCACCAGATGTTTCCCAGACTGTGAGTTGCTGCTTTCGTTTCGACTCTTCCGAAGCTCCATGATGTCTTTAACTGGAACTCCAAGAATTTCAGCAGCCCGTCGGAGCACCTCAAGCTCTTTTAGGAAGTCTCTCAAGTCATCGCGCTTCTGCCCATGGGGACTAGAAATACTGTTCTGATCCATCATGTAGTGATGGACTGCTAACTGTTTTGTCAGTTGACTACAAACTATCAGGTGGATAAACATTGGTTGGAATAGCATGAGGGTGTCGCTATGGAATAAAGGGTCTAACCTTGATCTAGTTAAATTATAAATCCAGGTAGTCTAATAAGACTAAGGTGTGATTTAATATTTTACTATTATAATATACTAACTGAAAAGACATGTAGTGAGCAAAGGAAGAGCGGGGAAGGTTGAGAGGGAATTTCAGCTTATATTATTACATCATCACGTGCAAGTTGGCTACACCGGTCTTACCAAGATGACCTATCATATTATATCTTATGCCTGGACTGTTTGAGGCGAGTAGCCTATTAAATGCCCTTAAATTGAGACCTGAGCTAATGGAATTTACTAAGGTGATCGTCTTGACTGTCTTGTGTTTGTCGACCACGTGCTTGTTCTGAATCTGGGATGGCATTATCCCGCATGCCTGTCTTTAGGGAGTCACGACGAGCCATGACGGCAAA